TTCCTCTGAGCTGGGAGTGATGGTACAGGGGCCAGTGGTTCCAGGTGGTTGAATGTCAGATTGGTCCATCTCATTTCCCTTTGGGGTTGCTGTAGGTGATCTGGAAGTCTGGTTTTGAGACTTAGTTACATATTTTCTCATTTTGACTGGGTGGGGGGCTGGCTGTTGGTGCCTGCACGGATTACTTCCTCTGAGCTGGGAGTGATGGTACAGGGGCCAGGAGTAGTGGTAAGGGTGGTGGCCCAAAAGGCCTTTCTTCTGGGCTGGGAGCAGTGGGACTGCAGCTCAGAAGCCCCTACCTCTGGGCCGGGAGCGGGAGGACACAGTACCAAAGTCTGGTGGTCTGGTGTCCTCTGTGTCTTTGTAGTGTGGAACCAGGTGGCTGTACAGAGGAGCGGGGAAGGGAGTGTCCAGTGGATTGTTGCTGGGGCACGGGCCGATTTGGTGTGTTCCGTGGAACTTGTGACCTCGGTAGGGCATGCACAGACCTGCCTGTCTTCAGCCCATGAAGTCTTTTCCTATGCCAATGTCTTCAAGGGTTCTACCTAACTTATCTTCCAGCAAGTTTAGTGTTTCTGTCTTAATATTTATATCTTTTGAGTACTACTAGGCCATAAAAAATGAAAAACTAGAGTCATTTATAGCTAAATGGATGCATATCGAGGCCATACTCTTAATTGAAATAAATAGGACACACGTGTAAATACTGAATAGTTTCTCTAGTGTTAGAAACTGATAGTGTAAAGAAGAGTTAAAATGATTAAAATGAATAATTGATAATTTGAAATAGGAAAAAATGTCCAAAGATGATGAAGTGAAGGGAGGGGAAGGGGAAAGGAAAAGAGGGAAAGGAAAAACTGTGAGAAAAGAAAAAAAAAATGGAAATGAAATCTATGTAAATAGGGAAGGGTGGAGGGGGTGAAGGGTGCACAGGTAATGGGGAAAAAAATAAGAACCAAGATATATCATGTACAGTTACAAACACCCAATGATAAATGTAAATGAATTGTATACCTAAAATGTACCAATAAAAGAACTAAAAACAAACAAAAAATAAATTAAATGTGAGAGAAATCACACACACACACACACACACAAAGAAGTATAGGAGGCCAAGCAGGTGTCAGAAACGTGGGCTATGAAAGAATGTTTTAGTTTTCCTAGGGCTGTCCTAAGAAAGTAATACAAACTGGGTAAAACTACAGAAATTTATTATCTCACTGTTCTAGAGGGTAGAATTCCTGAGTCGAGGTGGTGAGAGGGCCATACTCCCTCTGAATCCTCTAGGGGCAGATCCTTTATTACCTATTGTGCTTCTGGGAGCCTCAGACATTTCCTGTGTGGCAGCATAACTCCAGTCTCTGCTTCCAGCTTCTGTGTCTTTATGTCTAAATTATTTTGTGCTTATAAGATACCATCTTGATTTAATCACATGTACAAAGATCCTATTTCCAAATAAGGTTGCATCTGTCGGTACTGGAATGAGGGTTTGAAGGTACCATTTTGAGAGACACAATTCAACCCTTAGTTATGCGAGGTTTCTAGAGATATAGGTAAAATCCTACACTTTAAATTGACAAGAGAGACTGGTAATGATTAGTGGGGTCAGATAAATCATCCTGGCAAAGAGAAAATTTGTGGTTTTGAAAAATGGGATAAGAATCTTTTCCATGAAATTTCTCATAATTCTATTTGGAAACTTAAGTAGATATTTTAATTGATTATTTGTGCATGATGATTTGCTTCTATGAGTAAGCTGATGCTAGGAGCAAAAAGCAGCTCATTATGACAATTTGGTTCATGATTAAGAAAGATCAAGTTCTTATTTATAGAATTTATTTTTATTTTTAATTGATCTATATTAATTGTACAACTGGAGTTATTTTTATTTCAATCATATGTCCTCCAATTGCATTCAACAAATATTCACTGATCACTACCACGAGACTCAATCTGTTTTAGGGGCCGGAACAAAGAATGTCCTATGATTGTCCAACTATTTGTTGGGCTAAGGTGACTTTAGGTTGCTATAACAAATACACTATAGACTGGATGGCTTAAACAACATTTGTTTCTCAGTGTTCTGGCAACCATGTAGCATAAGATCAAAGTGCCAATAGATCTGTATCTGGTGAGGGCTCATTTCCTGATTTGTAGATGGTTGTCTTTTAGAAGGTTTCACCTTTAAATGCCATAACATTTAGACATCAACACAGGAATTTGGGGGGAGGCATACAGATATTCAATCCATGTAACAAATGCATGTGATACAAGGGGAATTATTTAATTTACATTTATGTTTTCTGGGGGTAATATAGTATAAAATTTAAAAAATATTCCAGATTAATAAAATCATAATTATTTTTAGTAAATATTTATTATTTGGGTCTTGTACTTATATTTTAAAAGTCTCTTTTTTCCTCTTTTACTTTCAATGACTAACAATGTTCTTTTACTTAAATCTTTTGACCAATACGTCTTTCTAGTAAAATTCTTGTGTGACATAAGAGCTAAAGTTTTACCAATATTTCAAATTTAATATACTTACATCTACAGTCTACTTAATGTAGGTGTTTTCTTTTTCAAAGTTTCAATTTAAAATATTTTATCTTTGCGTTGGCATTCATTCCCATGTGGTTATTCAGCTGAGTCTGTACTGATTGCCCCAAAAGATATATTTTATTTAACTGGGCACGTATTTAGACTCAGCTGTATTTTATTTGGAAAATTTTGGCAGAACTACTTTCTGAAATAGTTAAAAATTAAATCAAAGTATCTCTAGTTGCTTGAGAATGAAAGCATAACTTTTATATTTCGATGCTAGGCTTTTGTGATCACCGAAGGTCAAAGACATAGGAAAAGAGCTTACATGGAGATAGACTTTAGAATCTTAGTTTTCAAACAGAATTACCTTCTCTTCCAGTCATGTAAACTTACATTGATAGAACATTCCCACACATGTTATCAGTTGAAAACAGGCTGCTGAGTTCTGCATTACAACTGTCTTTGATAGTAGAAAGAAAAGAACAGAATTGAAAGTTCCAAAACATTAACTCTGACAATCAGAAAGTGGCGTCACTGGAATTTACCTGATGTTTCTTTGGTATACAAGCACTTTTTCCAACTTGATTTGTTTCAGAAAGTAGAAATCTTACTTGCAGCTGTTGCCCGTAAACATACACCAAGTTAAAAAGTGCTGGAAATATATCTGGTGGAACTTTGTAAGTAGAAGTGGTTGTGATGTCACAGACCCTTGAGAGAAACTTCTAAAAGTGAGATTTATTTAGAACAGAGACTAAACAAGAAATGTGATAACTGAGTAAGATGGGATCCAGCAAGAGCGTAGTACAGAATGTAATAATTTGTGTATGACTTTTTTCTAAGGTCTTCAATAGAACGGCTCTTAATGAAAGGAAGGAAAGGCTTAAACACCTGGTACATTTATGACTCTTGATAATTAATTACTTGAAGATTAATACATTTGAAATTCATCAGTTAAGGAAATGGAAGAAGTTGATGAACCTGATCAGCCTATCTCAGGAGGGAGGCAAGAAACTCGAAAGAGAAGATGCCCCAGCCAACCAATGGTAGACAAATCTCAGCAAACTGAAATGACAGAGAAAAAGAAACCCATTACCACACCACCATCATCTGGCCCCAAAGCTACTATTAGTATTGGTAATATTCCTGCGAGCAAAGGAAACTACTCTGCCAAGGAATATGAGTCTCTTAGAATATCTTCTCAACTTCAGCAAACTTGGACAAAGAGAAAGCATGGACAGGAAATGGCTAATAAATCTCTGCAGACAGATCCCATCATAAAAGAGAAAAAAGAAATCAATTTAGTTGATGAAACAGTGGTACCTGAAGAAAAGCCAGCTGGCATTGGGGAAGTGGCCTCTGAATTACCAGAGTGGGTTCAGGAAGTAGAAATTCCAATAAGCAGACCCTCAGTTCAGTCAAAAATAGACAAATCTCAGCAGACCAGTTGTAGTGGAGACATGCTAAACATTCCCCACGTAGAAAAAGTTGACAAGGAACAGCAGACATCCTTTAGTGAATTTGAAGTAATGGTTATTTCTAGGCCAAGTAGTTCTTTTACAAAATCAAAGAAAGGTGCCCAAAAAGATAAATCCTCAGGAAATATTTTTGTTAGTGAACACCCTGAATTTCAACCAGAAAAAAGTAGCCATGAAGAAATTAGGCAGAAAAGTGTTGACAGAGCTTCATTTACTCAGGAAACCGAAGAAGATACTCCAGTAGTTTTAGAAGATGGGTCTAGCCCAGAGGTAACCATACCTGTGGAAGAGGGTTCCTTTGTTAAAAAGGGGGATTCTGCTGAAATAGAGGCACTACTATCAGAAAAAATCCCTGCTGAAGTACAGCCTTCCATTGCAGAAGAGATCCCCGCTGAAGTACAGCCCCAAACAGCTGAAGAGGCCACAGTTAAAGCAGAGCCCAGACTTGCTGAGGAGACCTCTATCCAAGTGCAGCCTCCAGCTGAAGAGATGCCTGCAGCAGAGGCAGCCACTCTCATGGCAGAGGCCGCTGTTGAAGTACAGGTTCAGTCAGCTAAAGAGCTGCCTTTAGTAGAGTCTCCTGTTGAGATTTGGCCTTCGCCAGTGGAAGAGACTCTTTTACAAAAGTCTTCTGATGAAGTAGGGTATCTATCAGCTAAGGTGGCTCGTTCAGAAGCTCTTCCCACTGAAATTCAGCTTTTGCTGGCAGAGGAGGCTCCGGTTGAAGTACTGCCTCCAATACCTGAGGATGCTGATGAAGATGCTTTAGCTAATCTAGAGCCTACTACCATGGCTGAAGAGAACCCTATTGAAGTTCAGCCTCCGTCAGCTCAAGAGGCTCCTACAGAAGAGGTTCTGGCTAAAATTTAGCCTCCATCAGCTGAGGATGGTCCTATATAAGAGGCCTCAGGTGAATTTCAGTCTCCAGGATTTGAGAAGGCTCCTGCAGAAGACACTCCTGTTCAAGTTCAGTCTCAACCAACTGAAGAATCTCCTGAAAAAGAAGCCCCTGCCCAAGTGCAGTCTCCACCAGCTGATGAGGCTCCTGCAGAAGGGGTCCCTGCTCAAGGTCAGCCTCTACCAGCTGAAGAGCCTCCTATAAAAGAGGTACCAGCTCAAGTTCAGCCTTCACCAGCTAAGAAGCCTCCTGCAGAGGTCCCTGCTCAAGTGCAGTCTCCAAAAGCTAAGGAGCCTCCTGCAGAAGAGGTACCAGCTCAAGTTCAGCCTCCACCAGCTAAGGAGACTCCTGCAGAAGGGGTCCCTGGTCAAGTGCAGTCTCCACCAGCTGAGGAGCCTCCTGCAAGAGGTCCCAGCTCAAGTTCAGCCTCAACCAGCTTAAGAGCCTCCTGCAAAAGAGGTACCAGCTCAAGTTAAGTCTCCACCAGCTAAGGAGCCTCCTGCAGAGGTCCCTGCTCAAGTTCAGCCTCCACCAGTTGATGAGGCACCTACAGAAGAGGACCCTGCTGAAATTCAGAGTCAACCAACTTGAGGGACTACTGCAGAAGAGGCCCCTGCTAAAGTTCAGTCTCCACCAGTTGATGAGGCACCTACAGAAGAGGACCCTGCTGAAATTCAGAGTCAACTAGCTGAGAAGCCTCCTGCAGAAGACACCTCTGTTCAAGTTCAGTCTCCACCTTCTGATGAGGATCCTGAAGAAGAGACCCCTGCTGAAGTTCAGTCTCCATCAGCTGAGAAGGCCCGTGCTGAATTCCAGTCTCCACTAGTTGAGAAGGCTCCTAAAGAAAAGGCCACTGCTCAAGTTCATTTTACACCAGTTGATGAGGCACCTACAGAAGAGGCCCCTGCTGGAATTCAGAGCCAACCAACTGAGAAGCCTCCTTCAGAAGAGGCCCCTGCTGAAGTTCAGTCTCCACCTTTTGGTGAGGCACCTGCAGAAAAGGCCTTTCCTGCTGTTTGGTCTCCAATAGATGAGGAGGTCTCTGCAGAATTTTATTCTTCATCAGTTGAAGAGACTTCTATAGAAGAGGTCCCAGCTGAAGTTCAGCCTACACCAGTTGAGGGAATCCCTGAAAAAGAGGCCACTCCTGAAGTTCAGTCTCCACCATTATGACAAGGCTCCTACAGAAGAGATCCCTTCTGAGGTTCAGCTCTACTAGCTTAGGGAGCTCTTGAAAAAGAGGCCTCTGCTGAGGTTTGAGCTCTACTAGCTGAGGGAGCCTCTGAAGAAGAGGCCCTTGCTGATACACATGCTTTATTAACTGATGTAGTTCCTACTGAAGAATTTCCTATGAAATTTCAGCTGAAATTTCATCTCCATCATCTGAACAAGCTCCCCTACATGTGAGGCTATAGTAGAGAATATCTCTACTGAATTTTAATCTCATCAAGTAGCAGGTGCCTCAGAGAAAACAGTGGGGTCAGTTGTTTTACAAAGTGTTACAAAATTTGAATAAATGCTTCCTGTACCTGTTCCTCAAGATATATGTAATGCTAAGAACAAGTAGGTTTCCACTATTGGAATAGAAGGTATCATCCAAATAAAATTAAAAGACTGAGCTGAAGTCAGGTCCTAACTAAACTAGAAATCAGGGGTTGGGAGGTTCTAGAAGTACTTTCTTTAGAAAAGTGTAGACATCTGAAAAAATTTTGAGAATACAGTAAATGAAAGGGAATCTCAAGAGTGGGCATGCAAGTTGGGAAATAATAAAAATTATAGCAGTTTAAAGTTGTGTTATTTTCATTCAACTGTACAGCATGTAATGTAACTATTTTGAAAAGTAAATTTACGATTGAAATCATCACTTAAGATATCTTTTGCACAGTAAACCTGTTGACAAGTTTAATCTACTCTAAATCCATATTTCTTTCTTCTGTTTTTTCTTTGTAAGTATATAAGCTTGTAGTGGAAATGCCACTTTTTTTTTTTGCAGTGTCATCTACTTTAAATCCCTTGGACTTTATTCATGTATCTAAACTTACATAGTCTTCTCTTTGTCCTTGTTATAATTCATCTTTCTTATTCTCTTTCCATTCAGTACTTTCTGAGACAAACATTATTTTCCTGGTTTTAGTCTAAGGGTTCTTCCCTATCTTAGTGTGTATTTTACCACTCTTTTTTTAAAAATAAATTTTATTGGTACATTTTAAGTATACAATATAATGACATTCATCATTGGAAATTTGTACCTTTACATAATATATCTTGGTTCTTATTTTTTCCCTATTCCCCTACCCTCCCTTCAACCCCTCCACCCCTTCCTATTTACAAAGACTTTGTTTCCATTTTTTCCTTTTCTCATATTAATTCCATTCTCTTCTTTCCTTTCCCGAACTCTTGCATATTTTATATTTCCATGTCTGGATAAGGAAACTTCCTTTGTAAAAAATATTCATTTCAAGGAAATTATTATGTCATAGAAAGTATTTTAAAGGTATGTGAATATAAAGAAAAATATACTTAACTGGCCTTGAGAGCACATCGTTGTTTAATTTTGATTTCATTTCATTTGGAAATATGACGAGTCTTTTGGAAGCTTGCCTTATGTTTTTGGCAGTCTGAACTCATGATGAAGAAAAACTTAGAGAAAAAAACTGATCTAAGATGTCTGATATTAAAGCATTTCTAGGTTTCTACAATTATTAAAACTTTTTGGAAAATAGTTTGTATGCCTACAAATCAGTTGCAGTGTGCTGAAATGTTGAGATGTTTCTCTTGAAATTTTAAAAATAGTGTATTTCTCTGTTTAGTGAAACTCTAGATTGAGAATTCTTGACATTGTGAAACTTTGGTGTCCTATAATTGTTGTATTTTCATCACATTATTCACTCAGTAACCAAAGTTATGTGATATTTTAAAGTCAATTCTAGAGAATTTTATAGAAATTATTGTAAGTGTTTTCTTCCATGTGCCATATTTGAGGTTGAGAAACAATATTCTAGGCTTTGTAGAGTCACTTTTTTGATATTTCCACATCATTTACATTGTTTTCTGAGATACTAAAGTCCAGTTAGAGTTGGTTTTGCAAGTTAGAAATTTTGTTTTATTTTCTTTTTACTTTTTCTATTGTGGTTTATTATTTGTTAAAATTCATAAGCCTTATGAATTTGGAAATATTTTTTAAAAGATGGGCTTTTTCAACTGTCATCAGAGAACTTTTAATATTGAAAAGTTGGATGTTAGTTGGAGCTGAGGCAGAGCTTATAACAGTCTCACTGGATATAAATAGGATAATCAGCAAACAAGCAGATGTGGGGGATTCTGGAGGCCAAATTCAAAGTGTTGAAAATATATTACCACAGGGTTAAGTGAAAATTTAGGCCAGGAAACACTGATTTGAAGTTTTTAGCAGGTAGAAGTAAAAAAATCTTCTGAACAATTAGAACATAAGATAAATATAGATTTTATTTTTAAAAATCAGATACTGGCAAAGATTCAAGGTGAATAGTAGAAACACATGCAGGTGATAATTTCTACCAAATTTAAGAATTGCATCAGGCTGTGAATTAAAATTATGTATTAAAAATAGGATGTTTTAAAAACAACTTTACTAAGGCATAACTTCTATACAAAAATAGTGTTTTCTTAAATTGTACAATGTGATCAGCTTTGATCTCTTCACATAGATGCCCATGAAATAACCATAATCAAGATAATGAATATGGCCGTCATTCAAAAGTTTCCACTGCAACCATTTCTTTTCTCTGTTCCCCCCAGGCAGTCACTGATCTGTTTTCTCCCACTGTATTTTATATTTTTCTAGTCTTAAAATGGAATCCCATAGTATCTATACTTTTTAATTGGGGGAAAGGCTTGCTTGTTTAACTTAATATGACTATTTTGAGATTTATTTATGTTGTATGTATCAATATTTTACTCCCTTCTATTGCCAAGTTATTTTCCATTATACACATTAGCCATACTATTTTGTGTATTTAAAACACTCAATCACTTGTTGGATATTTGGATTGTTTACATTTCTGTTATAAGTACAGCTTCTATAAACATTCATGTAAGTCTGTGTGAACACGTTTTCATTTCTCTTGAGAAAACAACTAGGAAAAGGAAATAAATGGCTAGATTGTGTAGTAGGATGTATAGTGAAAAAATCATACTGATTTATTATCTGAAGTGATGTAGCATTTTACATTCTAACTGAGAGCTGTTGGAGTTGAAGTTATTCTATATCCTTGTCACCACCTATTATGTTCCATCTTTTTCATTTAAGCCACTGTACTGGGAATATAGGGATATCTGTTTGTAATTTTATTATTTATTACCCTAATGACCAGTGATATTGAGCATCTTGTCACATACTTATTTGCCATCTGTATATCCTTTTAGTAGAGCACATTCTTTTTCTATCTGTGTTATATTAAAATTTTTTTTTTGCAAACTGAAGATTACTAAGATTCCTATTTTCTTCTAGAATTTTCATTCATCTCTATCTTATATTTCTTTTTAAAAATCTCATTGGTACATTTTAGGGACACAATACAATGACATTCATCATTGGGTATTTGTACCTTTACATTATATTTTGATTCTTACATTTTGCCCATTCCCGTGTCCTCCCTTCAACCCCTCATCCCTCCCTATTTACAAAGACTTTGTTTCAATTTTTTCCTTATCTCATATTAATTCCATCCCCCTCTTTCCTTTGCTCTACCCCTCACACTTCGCCTTTCCCTTTGCATCTTTTCTTCCTATTTCACATTATCTATTATACATTTTGGTCCCTATTTGCACTTTCAGTTTCTCACACCAGAAAAACTATTTAGTATTTACATGTGTGTGCTATTTGTTTCACAAGAGTATCACCTCAATATGCATCCATTTAGCTATAAATGCCTCTAATTTCTCATTCTTTATGGCGAAGTAGTACTACATTTTGTAAAAAAAAACCCCACAATTTCTTTATCCAGTCTCCATTTGATGGGCAGTTGGGCTGTTGCCCAGTTTTAGCTATTACAAACTGTGCTGCTATGAACATGGGTGCACATATATCACTGTGGTATGATTCTTTTAATTCTTTGGGAAAGATACCCAGCAGAGGAATAGCTGGGTCAAATGGGACCTCTATTACTAGTTCTTTAAGGTATCTTGATAGTGATTTCCACATTGGATGGACGAGTCTACACTCCCACCAACAGTGGAGAAGTGTTACTTTTTTCCCACAGGCCCACCAGGGTTTGTTATTGGTTGATTTCTTGATAGCAGCCATTCTTTCTGGGGTGAGGTGGAATCCCAGTGTTGCTTTTATCTGTATCTCTCAAATGACCAGTGATGTTGAACATTTTTTCATATGTTTATTTGCTATTTCTACTTCTTTGTCTGAGAAATGTCTGTTCATTTCAGATGCCCATTTTTGGATTGGATCCTTACATTTGGGAAGTCTGAATTTTTTAGGTTCTTTATATATTCTAGATAGTACACCTTTGTCTGAGGAACAGCTGGTAAAAATTTTTCCACATTTTGGGTTGCCTCTAAGCTTTGTTGGTGGTTTCTCTTGCTGTTCAAAAGCTTTTTAACAAGAAGAGATCCCGCTTGTTGATTGTGCTAGCTCAACTGAGGTTTTATTCATAAGATCTTTTCCTACACCAATGACTTCAAGAGTTCTACCTATCCTCTGTTCCAGCTAATTCAGTGTTTCTATTTTAATATTTAGGTCTTTAATCCATTTTGATTTTAGTTTAGTGCATGGTGACAGATATAGATCTAGCTTTAATCTTTGGCAAGTTGAAACTCAATTTTTCCAGCATCATTCATTAAAGAGGCTATCTTTCCTCCAGTGAGGGTGTTTGGCTCCTTTGTCAAAGATGAGGTAGCTGAGTATGTCTGGAGTTGTTTCACCATCCTCTAATCTATTCCTGTGGTCCTTGGGTCTGTTTCTTTGCCAGTACAATGGTGTTTTTATCACAGTAGCTTTGTAGTATAGTTTCAAGTTGGAGATTGTGATAACCCCTATCTTGTCTTTGTTGCCTAGAATTACTTTTGCTATTCTAGATCTCTTCTTGTTCCAAATGAATTTTTGGATTGTTTTCTCAAGGTCCGTGAAGTATGCTGCTGGAATTTCAATTGGGATTGCATTGCAATGGGATTGCATGGCCATTTTCACTATGTTGATTCTTCCTACCC